TTTAAAGCTAATATAGCTACTAAAAAAGGAGTAACCAGAGGCTATTCCCATTGCCTTCAATCTCCTTTTTAGTGCTGAGAAACCTTTGGCGTTTTCTAGACAAAACAAATTCAGGTTCATGTTTTTTTCAGGGACATGTCAGCTCTACAAACAAGTGTACTTATATCATACCATTCTACTCAGGAGTAAATACGAGATACATGAATCTACCAATTTTTTGAATACCATTAATATAAATTTCCTTGTATTTTTGTGGTTAACAACTCTTATTAAAAACATTAAAATGATTCTAGGAAACCTCTTTTAGGTCTTCCTAGTTACATAGACAGGAACTGCAGCTTTTCTTCATTCTTCAGAAGCTGTTTTATTCTATAATAAAGCTTTTGAGGTAGATGTTTTCCAGCGATGTTTCAGGTTTTACTTTGAAAGCATGACTGCCATGTCCTCCATTTTAAAAGTTGAAGTGAAAAGGTAACAGGTTCGAGTAACAATACATTTTTCATTTATAGAAAAAAAAATCAGTGCTCCTATCCTATGAGAAAATGAGCATTTCATAAATATTGAATACCACTACCACATACGCTGCAAGTTGGTTAGCTAAAAAGACAGTAATTCTATTTGAGGCTTTTAGCAAGGAAAAGATAAAATAGTTGAGGTAAAGTAACTGACATTATCTGTTACTATTTTACTTTTAAAATGTAGTGAAGAGTAATATCATAGATTCCACAAATTTCCAAGGGAAGATTTTAGCAGTTTTCTGAAAACTCTGGGCTCTTTATTAGATTTCTTGTCCTACAGGCTCTTTGACTTGGCTGGATATTTGATTTGTGGTACATTGCAGCATATATTTGTATCATAGAATAATTTTAAACATATAAAATATTCATCACTATCTGATAGCAACAGAAGTGAAAATCTGAGCAGTTATCCTGTTCAGAAAAGGACTTCGTGTTTCATAATAGGAGGAAAGATGGCCAATGCCCCTCAGTTCCTAAAGGAGACGGAATTTAGACTAGGAAGGCACCCCGACTCGTAACTTTCTTCAAGCGAGATATCTTACTCCCACTTCCTTTAAAATTCATATAACTAAACCTTCAATGACTGAATTGCTCCAACCGGACAATGAAAGCAAAAAGCCCTCCTTGTCACCTGAAGCCATAATAAAGCATAGTTAATGAGTCAGTACTTTAAGATCTTGCTTGCAGGAGAGTTACATCCTTTCTATCATTCTATCTTTTCAATATGAGACATAAAGGCAATTTTGGTTTGGTTCGTTTTTTTTTTTTTTTTTTTAGAGTCAATCTACAATGATAAAATAGACAGTCACCAGCAATTTGTATAACAAGTAAGGAATCAAGGTTGAGTTCCATTCTAGTCCATAAAGTTAAAGCTCAGTTACAGAACTGTCTCCAGAGCTGAGCTTTGCCTTCTTTGCCTTGTTATGTACTAAGTATCTGAGACTGAATTATTTCCTTGATGATTTCATCTCATCCAGTTTTATAGTATTTATCATCTTCTAAAATACTATATAATTTATTTATCTATAGGTCCTCTCTCTCCCAACACACACCTAAATGTAATCCTCACTGTGCATTCTCCTTGTTCCCTAATGTTTCCCTAATCCCAGAAGAATGCCTGACATACAAGGCGTTCAATAATATTTTGAATAAGTAAATGAATGAAGACAGTAAGCGATTACAGAAGATGTCTTTAACTCTTTTTTACGATTTAAAAGTGGAGAAATGTTTCTCTCAAAGTTAAAGAAAAGGGTAAGACCAGTTTTAACATAATTTTCTATTAAAACAAAGTTTTAGCTTCATACTTAAAAAAATGTATTATGAAGTAAATATAAAAATTTTATATCTCTAAATCTCCATGCTTGATGAAGTTTGTACCATCCAGATGTTCAGCCTCACTCTCAGTCCCTTTTCTGTTTTAAAATGGACCCGAACTCAATAATATAAATAAACTCATTTTATATATACATATATGTTATATATGTTTTTTAATTTTGATTGGTATAATCAATCAGCAGCCACAAAATAGTTTTTGACCTCATAAATCTTCTCTTACCAACTTTACTTTTCATTTTCAGTAACATATGGCTAAATCATAGATACAGCCTAACAGCTTTCTTACTGCACAACTGAATTGTAAGAGAGCTATAGGTTTTTCAGGTACTTACAAAATCAATTGTAGCCCATGTACTCTTATACACAAATGAATTGGCTCTGTGTCCTAATGGGATTTCAAACCACATAGCATTGTAGACAAATTATAAAAACAGATTCAGCCACACTTGAAAGAGGAGCTAAACAAGCTTTATACATAAGTACAATCGATTTCCAGCTCTACACGTAATTTAACCAAATATTTCTAATCTCAGGAGCCTAAAAACCAAATAAATTAGACTTGCTTTTTGATCAGCATAAACTGTTAGTTGATGTTAGCAAGCAGATATAAGGTTAAAATGTTATTGTATTGAAGGTATTATTGTACCACGAAAGGGGGAAATGTTATTTTTTAAATGTTGAATGTATTAATTTTAAGACCATCAGTGGAATACTAATATATTTTTGCTCATACATCACATGATACTTAAGTCTTTGTTTGGTTTCTCAGGTATTTTTAGAGATTTCTTCTTACATACAAGGTTTACTGATATATTCTAGATAATTTCAATGAAGAATTCATGGTTTTTACAGTATTTATAGTACTATAATTTCTTGGTAGTTATTAACTTATAGATGAACAATTCCAGGAATTAGCATTACTAAGGATCTGATATCAAATAACTTTAAGAAAGCTTTTAAGTCATTCCTAGATTTATAAAGCATTTCCTTGTTTCTTGGATTACTCAAGCATACTCATTTCTAGAAATGCCTAGTCAAAACCATTAAAATTAAAATAATTGTAATTGGAGTGCTGTTGGTTACAAAAGTGCAATTGCTATATCAATTCACCAATTTACCAATAAAAGTAATGAAATTGTTCTTTTGTATTTTTAGCAAATCTTCGTTGAAAGCCACAAACTGTATAATGGTATGAAAAGTTGTTTTAATGATATCTTTTGTCCTCAGATGGCCCTATAACTTTTAAAACCAAGGATTTTTAAGAAATTTCTGAGCCAGAAATTCAGGCTACAACAATAGTTATAATACGTATCCTCGAATAATGGGAGTTTGTCCTGAACTCCTTATTTAAATTGAGCATCACTTCTTTTCTAGAATAGGAAACAAACTTCAAGGACTACAAAGGCTAGAAGGTAATGTAAATAAGTGATGTGAGCCACCTGGTGAATGGGCACACAGGCACATCAAGTGAGTAGCCAGAGCTATGTCCAATAAGACAGCACAAAGTTGGCCTAGGCAGCAATGACCATATTCTTTCAGGAGATTATTGCCATGCAGAAATGCATTACGTAACATTGCCAGAAATTTCAGATGTTTTTAAGAAAAGAGCAGATTAAGGTTTTTATTTACGATTGCCCAAATTTTATATACTCTTTCATGTTTTTAAATCATCTGCACATATTGGATTGGATTAAACCTTTGAGATACCAGTTTGCCACCTTGTCTAGAAGATTAAAAAGTAATAATATTTTCTTACTAGAAAAAAAATGAGATTGTTTTCTGCTAAAATCTCATTATTTGGGGGCATTATTGCCCAATTAGCCAGTAGTGGCATTTTCCTGAGTCACAGAGTGAATTTCTTATGCCCATTTACACATTCATTACACCAAATGTCCGTGAGCCCCAATATCACAATGTCATGTATATATTTTATCATATTATAAAGTACCATAACTTGAAGTCCAAATGTACCATCTTGATATTAGTTTTATTATAATTATTTCAAAGATTGATTATACCATTATAGTTACTATTTGGCACCTTCAGAAAGGTATTTGGTGGCATTACCCTACCAAAACAGAGAAAAAGAGATAAAGAACAAAATTGATGTTTTCTAGATTTTTAAACCTATGACTTTGACCTATAGAAACACATCAGCTATGGAAGAAAATGCAATATATATGGAAAAGTATTCACACCTTGAACCTGTCTTCAAGAATGGAACAAAATTAATCA